AGCTGAGACTTCTGAGCCCAATGTACAGAACCCCCAAAATGTTATAATTTCAGGAACCTTTTGATGGCTTATGTAGACAGTATAAGAGTATATTTCAAATAAGACCTGCCCTAGAAGATATGCAATATATGATTTTCATACTTTTAAGAACCTCTAGTTTTTTCTATCAACAATGGAGAAGATGAAATCTCTATGTGGGGTTGTAATACCCCAGAATCTGTGAGACGTTTAACTCCTCTTGACATATTATTCCTCTTTGTTCACTGGGATCTGATATAGTAGGGACTCCAGAAGTATCTGTTGAACTATAGAACCTAACCCCACTCATGAGGCTTGGACATGAAGGGCCATGAGCCTGTGAAGCACCTCAGAAGTCTACATGGGCAGGGTCAACCACATGGGCCTCTGTGAAGATCTACTATTCGAGGGGTCTGTCTCTCCCAGTACTCATGTCCCATCTCTTGAACCCCAGGACCATGGCCTAGAGTACAGAGTTCCTTCCCTTTGTGACATATTCTTATCACCAATGCTTGTGTTTTTTTTGAAGATACTCTTATTTGTGGAAGGATTTTCTTTTTTTCCTTTTTTTTTTTTTTTTTGGTGATACTGGGGATTGAACCCAAAGATGCTTTACCTTCAAGTATATCGCCAGCTCCTTTTTTTATTTTTATTTTGAGACATGGTCTCACTAAGGTGCTGAGATTGGTCTTGAACTTGCAGTCCTCCCACCTGAGTCACTGGGATTGCAGGCAGGCTCCACTGTGCCTGGCTTTGGGAAGAATTTTAAGGCAGGTTGAGGACCTATGAAGTCCTAGGCATGTCTACAAATAGACATTTCTCTCATTTCCCCTCAAGTGCCCTGGCTTTTGACACTTTACCACAGATATGCATGTGGCTCTGCCCATTAATGAGGTATGTCTCTACGGCCGTGACTTTACTTCCAGAGGATCTAGACATCCCCAACAGTCACTCCAGTGAATGATCTCTGGGTGCCCAAGGTAATGATTTATGTTTTGAGAAAGAATCTGTCACCCATTATTTCATACCCATGGAACAACCATATTTTTCAATTTCGGAAGGATGTCATCATTGGAAAACCTCTTGGCATCTCTAGAAGTTTATGAGCCTAGAGGAGAAATGGAGTTATGCCAAGTCCAGAGCTTCATGCCAGCCCTGCCCACTCCTCTGGGTGTGCCATGTGGCTTGAAAGATGGTTCTGCCGGTGTCTACATTCATACTGGGCAGGTTTCCTGGCCTTCTCTTCCTCAATTTACAGAACCCTGTTCTATCACTTAGTAAAATAGGTGTAAGTCTTGTAATTCATGAAGATTCAGATAAACCACATAGCAAGGACATTCTCTTCTAATCAAATATATTTTTAAATGTTTTTTTGTTGTTGTTGTAGATGGGCACAATACCTTTATTGTATTTATTTATTTTTATGTGGTATTGAGGATTGAAACCACACATGCTAGGCAAGCAGTCTATCACTGAGCCACCACCCTAGCCCTAATTAAACTTTCTTAATAAGGCTTGCCAAGGTGCTTATAAACTCCATGAATGTGGCAAACAGCATACCTTATCAGGTCACCTTAGAAAAAATTAATGCTAATTAATCAGTTACTTTGGTATATTTTGAATCAGGAGAAGACAAAACCCATAACCTGAGATTGTCCTGTTGCCATTAGGACTCAGTGAAGAACAGGGCAGTCTCCAGCTACCCTCAGCTGCTCCCTAGTACAGATGAGAGCCCAGATAGCCAAAGTGCGGTCAGTGTTGCTTAGGAACATGTTAAGCCCCATCCTAGTCCTGCTAGCCAGAACCCACATTGTAACAAGATCCTTCCATGATTCTTATGCATATTAAAATGTGAGAAGTGCTGGGTCTGAAAACATGGACTGGGCCATCATTTGAGACTGGTGTACTTTCTGCCTCAGTGAGCAAATCCCCAGGGGCTCAAGCTGTTTATTCTGCCTAGCATAGACCCATATGCAATGCAGTGTTTCCTGGGGACTTGACAGCAGGATTCTATTTTTAATAGTAGCATTCTCTATTTATGATCTGACACGACCTTCACTTTCCCAGAAAGATTGGAATAGGCTTCCAAAATATATCCAATAAGATGAAATAAATAAACGAGGAAATCTATATTTTTAAAAAACTTTGTGTCTCTGGGAAATAATAATATAAAACCAGGGCTTATCACAGCACATAGAAATGTTTGCCATAGAGTCCATGCGATTGCTAGTTCTGTGCAGCAGACCCTGTGGCTCTGACAGAGTTCCCTTGTAATAGAAACAAAAAAGAAAACAATTAATACAAGACTACAGTGTCTGACACAGCTTCTCTCAATGCATGATCTGGTGGAAATTTCACCAGTTCTTCAGAAGTGGCCAGCACCACCTACATTTTCCTTTGTATTGTCTCATGTATATGAACTATTCATGAAATATACAATTTTATGAGATTTTTTTTGCTTATTATGTCCCTTCAAGGCAAAGGGCTGCTTTATACAAGTACTCCTATAGGGCATGATCTTTTCTTGTTCTTGTTGTTCTGTCATTTGCCAACTTGGTCTTTGCAGCCTCCTTTTTAATTAACCTGCCTCACTGCCAGTGCCCTACCTCATCTCTCCTCTCCTTGTCTATTTGGGTCCTCCTTATTAAACCCTCACCACGGGAACCAGACACTCAGCAAAGCGCAACTCAGACAAGGTGGCTCTCTCTCATGTGGAATGTGGGCGAGCCGGCCCACAGCCAAGGTGCTGAGTGGACTGTATAGGGCACAGGTCCTAACCCTGCTCTGCTCCCCAGCTTTTGTTAGTAACGCTAAAGGAATTGGAAAAGTCAGGTGTTAGGACCATATTTTCCACTGTTAAGTCCCTCAGAGGTAATTATATTTTTCCTCCTTGTACTCTGATTTGAGCTGGGTTTGTAGTATTTGTCAGACCTTCAGATCTTCTTTGATTTGGAACTCCCTTGGGCATTTTCCATAGAATCCTGTGGTGCACATCTATTATCCTAGCCACTCAGAGGCTAAGGCAGAAGGATCACAAGTTTGAGACCAGCCCCAGCATCTTAGACTCAAAATGAAAAATAAACAGGGCTAGGGATGTAGCTTGGGTTCAATTCCCAGTACAAAAAAAAAAAAAAAAATCAGAAATATCAGTGTTCCACACACTTTCTCTCCAAGAATGTGATTATCTTTCCTACTAAATAATATTGAGGAAAAATGTGTTAAAATGTGTGAAGGCAAGTTTAACATTTCTCAGGTTATAGAGGAACTTCTGTGTGTCTGGCAGACCCAGAGAATGAGGGGGAGTTCCAGGAGCCTCCCCTCTTTCTGCTGCTCACTCGGGGACACCCTGCCCTGCTCAGCACTTCCTTCTCAGCCGTCTCCACATTGCTGAATATACAGGAACTGAGGTGGCTGTGCCCTGCACTGGTGTCTGAAGCTAGATCATCCTTGATGTTATCTTCGGGGTGCCACATGGGATTCTAGAAGCCCTGTCACTGGCTGCTGCTCTCTGGATCTTGAGACATCCTTTCCACCTAGCCAAGAGACAGAACTGTGGTGAATTTCCTGTAGTGTTTTGCATTCTGTTAGCCCTGTGTAGGCTTTTTCTCCTAAGGGTGATGAAAATTTTGAGAGAAAGAAGAAAGCCATCCCTAGAAGACAAACTAAATTAACATACCTCTTAAATTTTCTGTATGTCAAGCTTTTTTAAAGTTCAGATTCTTCTTAGTGGGGGGAAAAATGGACATGCCCGGACCTTTCTCATAGAGTGAGTGGTTTTGAGGATTTGATGCAATGACCCATGAGAAACAGCACACAGCTCGGCACACAGTAGATTCTCAGTATGTGGTAACTGCTACAGTGGTAGTATTTGTCCTAGGCCTCCTTTGCTCATCGCCCTCCTGAATTTCTTCCATATCCTAGGCACTCCTGCAAGGCCAGCACATGTCTTCAGACCACCTCTTGCAGCCCTGTCAGTGCCTCTTCCCTCACCCAGCTCACATGGACACCAAGGCCCTCCATCACTGAATCCATCTTACATTGGGTTTATGTTATGGAATTCTTTCCCAGAGAGTTCATAATCCAGAGCAAAGAAAAAACATACACAAAAAACACTTCTGAAATCAATTTAAGGGTATCTCTAAATTGTGTATATAGCATATACTGAGCCTTTGCATGCTGCCAGGCAGGCTTTAGATATCAATTTCAGCTGGTTTAACTTTCAGTAACTTCATGAGGTAAGCATAACCATTGGTCACAGGTGAGTCTCAAGAGTAGTAAAGTGACATGCCTAAGGTCACATAGCAGGCCAGTGTGAGAACTAGTATTCAGATTAACTTCTGACTCCAGGTCCTAAGGTTGCCACCCCCAGGATCCTACTACTCTGTCCAAGTATGAGTTGAACCAGATCCACTAAGAGTAGAGCTCAGTCGTGGCCTGTTCCACCCCAGCGGCAGGTGGAGCAACACTACTCCACAGAGCAAGTTAGACTTTCTCCCAAACAGCAGCAGACTCATCTTGCAACCCTTCAGGTGGGTGTCAGCTTTACAGTGAAACAGAAGTGGCACAGTTTCATCTATAGTGCATCCCCACTTCTGTCACAGAGAAGGGGCATCTTTGCTGGCCATATCAAGTGATGGATATGGAATTCAGGTTGGATGGAGCAGAGTTGCTTCACACAGTAATGGCAGAGAGGAATTAAGACGCCCTAAAGGAAGCTCACAAGGAAACTTAGAGACCACATTGGGAAAAGAGTCCAAAGATAGGTCCGCTTGGGTAGTGCCAAGGAAAGACTTTGGAGGGACAAGCCCATTTGTAATAAATGCTCAGTAAAATCTGTCTCCCTGATAGCTGGTAGAATAGATTTTCTTCAGAAGAATGAAGGAACCACATGTCCTGCTTTGCCGTGGTATGGGACAAATTCACTGACTGCCCAAGAACCAGCCACACGGTGTTATTAATCCTTACTATTTTTTATTTCTTAGGCAACCTCAGAACCTGTTCTGGATCCACAACAAATCCAGGCATTTGATCAGCTTTGCCATCTGTACCGAGGGAGTTCCAGGGTAAAGTCTGTGTGGTTGTTTACCTCTGTTTCCCCATTTATACTTTACTGTTTTGGAAAGACTGTGTCCTGGAGCCCTCCATCTAGCCTTCTCCTTAGCCTGGGAGGTTCCCTGGCATCCCTGTTATGGCCATACGGTCCTCTAGCCCAAGGAGCACTCAGAACTTAGCAAAGCAGGCAGAAGTGGAAAGAGATCTGGCCCTTACCCACTTTGGTCTGTGGGGACATGGGTGGGCTTCTATGTTCCTGCCTCCAGAGAAAAAAAGCCAGAGCCTTTATTTGTGTCAGTGGCTGCCTAATCTGTCCCGAGGTCCTGGGCATCTGCATTGATCCAACTAGTTTGGACCATGAAATCAAATTCAAAGCAGCAGTTGCTTAAACAAGATGGAAGTGGAAACGCAGGTTGCCAGGGCATCTTCTATGAACCACCCTCCGGGTTTCCTCTTTCGTGACTCTGCTGTCCTTACATTGTGGCTTAAGATTCACATGGTTCAGTATGGTTGCTGCAGCAGGGTGCAGACACCCTGGTTAGAGCTTCCTTTTTATATGGTTATAAAAAGGAAGATGATGATGAGCCTTCCCTCTTAGGACAGTGCTAGAAATCATACAGACCACTTCCTCTTATCTCCACGGTCTGGAGGGTAGACCCACGGCCACTCCTACTACGGAGGAGACTGGGAAATTATCCTTAATTCCAAAGGCCATGGGCTGAAACTCTTGGTTTCCTATAACTGGAGGAAGAGTACAGGTTTGGAGGGAGGGCTACGCGAGCACAGCCACACATCAGTCTGGCGTCCCACGGGCACTTCAGAAGTGTTCTCACTCGCCTCTCTGCCTGCTCTTGCTTGCCTAGTGCCTGCCTCAGTCCCTCAGAGTAGCACTGGTCTCATCCTCCACCCTCCATCCACTCACCTTAGGCATTTTCTCCATTTCTCTTTTCCCTCCAAACTGCGACTGTCCTGGGGCAGGCCTCTTTGTCACCACAGAGGCCACTTCAGGTCTTCTGATCAGGTAGCAGTGCTCCTGTCCCCAACCCATGCTGCTGCCTAGAGCTTCTTTCCAAATCTGACTGACCAGTTGACCCTTTTCTCAAAACCTCTCCTGGCTGTCCACTGCTTAAAGGGAGGAAGTCCAAACCCTGCCACCACCTCTATCCTGCAGCTCCCACTGTCCCCAGCTGTTCCCTGAGTTCCTCCCGACCCAGCTGCTCCTGTGCTGTGCCTCTGCCTGGGTGCCCTGTGCCCACCCACACTTCTAGGCAAACACCTGTGAGGCCAGGCCATTCTCTGTAGCCCAGACCCAAAATGGCCTTCCGCTTCGAGAGCTGATCTGGGTAGAAGTTTGTCTGGGAGACTTCTCCAGTGGCCTCCTGAATGTCTCCCAGCAACTCTGTTGAACTGGTATCACCCCATCCCTTCCCAGACACAGCCAGGCTCTTCCTAGTAGTTGAGGTGCTGGCTTTCCAAGGACTATCTTCTGCTTCTAAATGTTAAGCTCTTATTCAGGCCCATAATTTCTTGATCACTCAGTTACAGAAGGAGAATACAAAAATATCTTTTTTCTTAAGAAGAAACATTTTCATGTGTGTGGTACTGGGAACCCAGGGGTGCTCCATCACTGAGCTACATCTTTAGCCATTTTTATTTTACTTTGAGACAGGATCTCACTAAGTTGCTGAGGCTGACCTCAAACTTGTGATCCTCCTGCCTCAGCCTCCTGAGTCTCTGGAATCATAGGCATCCACCATCTTACAGGACCAGAAAAAATTTTTATGGTTGGTTTTTCTACGTCAGGGTGTCAGAAAGCGAGAGTTGAGTGTCTTTGTCCATTCTTTAAAGCCCAGGGGACAATCTCCTTTCAGATGCTTCACAGCAAAAAAGGAGGTGGCACAAGGTGGTGCTCAAGGAGAGCGAGGGATGTCTCTGTGTAACCTGCACAGGTACCAGTGGAAGCCCTGACTCATTGCTTGAGCCAGCCTCCCCCATGTGTGTCCCTGGCCAGCTCAGTGCTTGCAGTCAGAGCTTCTGTATTGGGAGTTATTGAATGTGAACTAGACCATGGCCGTGTCACAAGCAGGACCTGGGACTAGATTATTTTTTATATATTGGCACTTAGCACTTAAGGGCTTTCAGATGGGTCTCTTCACAGAAGTGACAACTGGACACATGTGAGCCATGTGCCATTATTGCCAGTATGACAGGAGACCCTTTGCCAGAGGTCAGAGGACAGCTACAAGGCAGGGCTGTGGGCAGCTTGGGTGAGCCACAGTGGCCTTTCGACCTGAGTTTGAATTCCATCCTGCTGCTTAATGCTGGGTGACCCTAACTTCTCAGAACTCTGGCATTTTCACCCCAGAGGGTTGTTGGAGGATTAGAATAACACTATGGACAACACCTGTCTGGCACTGGAAAGATACTCAGTGAAGTTCCCTGAGGCTGTTATAGGTCCCTAGTAACCTCTGACATGGCGCCAAACACAGAAGGGTTGCTCTGAGGAGTCCCTTGGCTGGCTTTTCACAGTCACCCTCTCTCCAGGGTGGTCACTTTCCCTAGGCTCTCATGGAGCCTAAGCAGGTTTCCTCAAAATGTTAGTGATGGGACACAGAGGTCCCACCCTCAGCTACTGGGGAGCTTTGCATGGTGTCCCTGAGATTGCCTTCGACTTGCATTGAGGGGCAGGTCCAGGTGGTTCCTTTTATTAAAGAAGGGGAGCAAGAAGCGAAGACAGAGCAGGTGGAACATCTCGGACCCCAAGGTGTGGGACTCCTCCCTGACCATTAAGGACATCTTCGGGGCCAGACCGTCAAGCTCCCAATTCGCAGAAAGCTTCCTTAGGTGAGAGGGAGGACACCAAAGGGGCAGAGCTGGCTTCCTAAGGGCTGGCATGCCCTTGCCTCCTGCTATATGTTCCCTCCTGACTGGTCTTTCAGAACAGAGCTATTATAGTGGCTATGGTGGAAACAGGAAGTAGAGAGCAGGGAGCACTCATTTGGAGAAGGTAGAGCCTCTAGTTCTGCTCTGAGGCCCTGAGTTTGAGTTTGTGGCTGAGTGTCCCTTTCTTTGGAGCTATCCAGGTTATAAAAGAGAGAGGGCAGAGCCAGCAGTCATAACTCAGGGTCACTTTCTCTGGGGAGAAGGCTCCAAGAGAGATGGGGTGGAGGATGAGATGAACTGGGAGTGGAGAACCTCACCTCCACAGGGAGAGAGGTGGCAGAAGGGTCACACACAGCAAGTGGAAAAGAACAGGTGTGGGTGGGCCAGGATCAGACAGCCCTGCCGGGTCAGAGAGCACAGTCTCTGAGCACAGTCTCTGTGCCCCCGAGAGCGAACGTCCAGTCTCATCATTACCAAATGGGGACTTGCCTGAAGCAAGTGAGTTCCAGCTTGTGAGTTCTAGCTTGTGAGTTCCAGCCCTGGGGTCTAAACCATTTCTTTTTACTCTTCCCACAAAGTAGCACTACCTGGTTCAGCCAAGGTGGGGAACTGAGGCCCTGTGCACCTCTGTCCCCCACCCGACCCCCACACAGATTCTCTGCCCCACCAGCTTGCCTGATGTGTATCCCCTTCTTTGCAGCTGGCTCTCCTTACGGAACTCTCCCAGAATCGCAGCAGTGAGGGCTACAGGCCGTTCAGTGGCGCCCAGAGTGGACCAGCCTTCAACAGCGTCTTTCAGAATGAGAACTTCCAGCTGCAGCTCATTCCCCCACCTGTAACCGAGGACTGAAATACCCTAGAGCCCAGCCTTGGAGCCCAGAGGCAGTCCCAGGGCAGTGGGGAGGGGCCTCACCTCTGGACACTCCCAAGCAGAGGATCCTGGAAAAACCCCACCTGTGAGCCCATTGTAGCCTCCCCTTACACAGTGTTGTCTCGGCTTTAGTCCACCAGACTGGCCGATTTTGTTTTGCTTGGAATGTCACATACCTCCATCCAGTTTATTAGAAAATACATTTTGCTCATTGGGATTTTCTCCCATTTCCCATAAAATCTAAAGAGTCGGTGTAGTTCCAGAAGATGGCATTCCAGGTGGGTAGCATGTGGGGCTTCAGCTGCTGGGAGCAGAGCTTGGCCAAGCTACAGTATAACAGAAACAGCAATGAAGAGAGCAGGGGCTTGGGGGCAAAGCACCCCTGTTGATGTATTTATGTTAAAACCCATGTGAGTGGGAGACACCCTCCCTAATAATAAATGTCTCTGTCTTGCAGTCTGGCAGGCTGGCTGTCAGTCTGTTAACTCATAGAGGATGTTTAGAGCCACAGCTGAGTAGCTCTAAGGGGTCACGGACTTTATTCAGACAAACAGCTCCATGCAGAACCCAGCTACCCAGGTGCTCCTATGGCAGGGGAAGGACTACTAAGGAGAGTGGGACCTGTACAGTTTTCAGTCCTGGCACTGTATACCATTGAATCAGGAGCCACAGGAGATCACTACCCAGAGACCTAGGCTCACACCTCAGATGCTCAGACACCCTGACTCATCAGTTTACTCAGGAATGATCTGGCTCTCATGATAGATGCTAACCAAACCCACAGGAAGTAGATGTAAAACTAGATACAGATAGTGAGTTTTAACAGAAAATAGATCCATGCACAGTTGTGTTCCTGAATGAATCACAACTTCTTGAAGCCTCAATTCCTTGTAGAACAGAGCAGTTATAAAGATGAAATGAGATCACACATGCAAGCAGTTAGTATTGGGCAGGTGCATGGCATATGCCCAGAAGTGTCCACCTAGCTTTCATCATGGACTCCTCCCAGAGTAGCACAGGGTACTTACTGCCCCTAGAAGAGGGTATGAAGAGGCACCACCTCCTAACATCTGGAAGGAAGTGGGTGTCCATGGCAGCCACAGGAGGTGTCTCAGGGACGATAGGTAATTTAACAAAGAGGCACAGTGAAGAAGTGGCAGAGCAGGGCTTTGAACTCAGAACTGTGATTCCAGCGGTGCTGCCTCCCCAGTATATGTATCAGAAGGTCTCCCAGGAAGCCTAAAATTGATGCCGAGGAGCCTTGAGATTTTTAACTAGAACTCAGTGGTTACCCTTCTTATTCCTATAGTCTGAAGAACTAAAGCAGAAGGGATATACAATGAAAAGATGTAAATTGTGAGAGCAAAACCCTAAAATGTATTTGGGAGGGACGGAGTAAAAGAGTTATTTTATGTAGTCAAGGTAAAATGGTTACCAGCTTGAAATAGTCTATTTTACGATGTTTCTTCTAAGCCTCATGATAACCACAAAGCAAAATCCTATAGTAGATACACAAAAGAATCAAAACATACCCCTAGAAAAAAATCTCTCCCATGTTCATTGCAGTGTTATTCATAACACTCTAAATATAGAATTAACCTAAGTGTATCTTAGTGGATGAACTGGTGTAGAAAATATGGTGTATATACACATGGAACACTATTCAGATATTTTTTTTCCTTTTTTGGGGGGTGGGGTACAAGGGATTGAACCTAGGATGCTCAACCACTGAACCACATCCCCAGCCCATTTTTCTGTTTTGTTTAGAGAGAGGGTCTCACTGAGTTGCTTAGTGCCTTTCTAAGTTGCTGAGGCTGGCTTTGAACTCATGATCCTCCTGCTTCAGTCTCCCAAGCTGCTGTGATGACAGGCATGTGCCACCATACGCAGCTACTATTTGGCTTTAAAAACAGGCAACCCTATTATTTACAGCAACATGAGTGAACATGGAGGATAATCAGTTAAGTGAAATAAGCCAGGCACAAAAAGACAAATGCTGCCTAATCTCACTTGTATGAGAAATATGAACAAGTGGAACTTATAGAAACAGAGTAAGATGGTTACAGCCAGAAGCTGGGGAGGGTGTGACCTATTGGGGAGATGTAAAAGGACACAAAATTTTGATTAGGAGGAATAAGTTCAAGAAATCTATTGTACATCATGGTGAGCACTGTTTATTATACTGTTATATATTTGAAAATTGCTGAGAGGAGATTTTAAGTGTTCTTAGCATAAGAAAAAGATAATATGTGAGGTGATATATTGAATAGCTTGATTTAGCTATTCCCCAATGTATACACACATCAACATATCATGGTACCCACCATAATTATAAATAATTTTTACATATAAATTTTTTAAAAAAATTTAAAGGCAGTTTACTGCGTATCAGAACCCTGTTCAAGTCAGAATCGGGAAATACCAACAAATTGTTCTTCTCCAGCCTCTTTCCTATTTAATCAGTCCCCAAGAGTTCCTTTACTTTTTGTCATTCAAGCCACAGCACAGTTGAATAAATCGCTACACCTTTGCATTCAGGTCATGCCTTCCTAAGTATGTCCTCCACATTGGGTCTGAAGAGCCCTTGTCTCATCTGAGGGTGGACGAGATGCTGCCTCTTGAGTGCTGGGCAGCTCTGGTACAGTCTGCCATCCAAAAACCTGTTCTGTCACCTCTCATGGCACTTAGCCCATGTTTTACCCTGTGGTGACTTCAGGTCCCAATTCAAAGCAGTTCCTTAGGGGCAAAGACTCGTATCTGGAAATATCTTTAGAATCACCAAACAGCTGGTTCTGCCAACACCACCATGTTTTCTGCAGCGTGGGGTATGCCCAGGGTGGCACAGCTGGCTTGAAGCCAGGCACCAGCAGCTCCAATGCCTCATCCAGCCCCATGCTGAGCTCTGGCTGTGTCTCTAGGACACATGCTGCTCCTTGACTGTGACAGGTGATATGAAGGAGGCTCCCAACTTTTAAGAGGGGAAGTTCAGAGACCCTTCAGCTACCATTTGGGGAGGGCAGGTACCTGGTCTGAGCTTCTCCCATACTGTCCCCAGGGCAAGAGGGTGTTGGTCCCCTGAATGGGTTCAGGGCACTAACGGGATGGGGGGCGGACATTCATTTAGCCAGAACCAGCAGTGTCTGTCATCGCTTTGTTCTCTGTAACCAGCAAATATTTGAATGATGTCTGTCACACCTGAAAACAGCTCCCCTCAGCTCTCACAGCCCCTGGACGCCCCTGTAACGAACTCAGTCATCCCAGATTGAGATGCTGCTGGCTGCCCCAGATGTCCAACAACAGCCCCTTAACACCACCTAGGGAGGTGTTCTGGTCAGCCTTTCACTGCTGTGACCAAAAGACCCAGCCAGACAGTAGCAGAGGAGGAAAAGTTTATCTGGAGGCTCACAGTTTTAGAGGTCTCAGTCCATAGGCAGCTGGCTCCATTCCTCGGTGCTCAAGGTGAAGCAGAACATGGCAGGAGAGTGTGGCCCAGGTGGCCACATGATGACGAGGAAGCACATACAAAATATATAGCCTGAATCCAAGCCCCCAGTGACCCACCTCCAGCCACCTCAATCCGCCTTCAGTTACCACTCAGTTAATCCCACAGGGGATTAATTCATGGATTGGGTTAAGACTCTCATAACCCAACCATTTCTCCTCTGAAACTTCTTACATTGTCTCACATCAGCTTTTGGGGGACACCACATCTAAACCATAACGGGAGGAACACTAAGCAGAAAGTGCCCCTATTGCTCTGTCAACACTCAGTTTTACTTTTATAATTTAAATGTTTTAAAAAGATAGCTTGAATTTCCCCCTGTGTCACGGTTTTTCTTTGGGCACTTTCAGAATCTGGACAGACCTTTCCTTAGTGGGGTAACCATTACCAGGTGTGATTCGCCGTGGCCTTGGTGTTCCATCCTTCCTTTTACATTTTATTCAAAGGGAGCTTTTGTTTTTTATAAAAACTCTTAGGACATCATTCCAATGGGAGCATCACTAATGCCCCAAGTAAACAAACTAGCCCAAGTTTCCATGTGTGGTTTGAATGTGGCCCCTCTTAAGTTTCGGGTGTTGACCATGTCATTGCAGTGAGGACAACTCTTGGGCAAGACTTAACTAAATCTTGACTTATTTAACTAGGTATGTATCTAGCCTGTCCATTTAACAAGGTTGCTGCTAGGCTCAACTAACACAATGTCAAAGCCATTTAAAAACTGAAAAGTTAGCGGCTGGGGCTGGGGCTGGGGCTCAGTGGTAGAGTGCTTGACTAGCATGTGCGAGGCCCTGGGTTCGATCCTCAGCACCACATAAAAATAAATAAATACATAAATAAAGGTATTGTGTCTGACTACAACTAAAAAATAAATATTTTTTTAAAAAAGAAAAGTCAAAGGAACTGAACAGGCACCTCACAGAAGAAGAAATATGAATGGTCAAAAAATATGAAAAAAATGTTCGACATCTCTAGCAATTAGAGAAATGAAAATTATAACTACACTGAAATTCCATCTCATGCCAGTCGGAATGGCAATTATCAAGAAATAACAATAAATGTTGGCAAGGATGTGGGGGAAAGGATGCACTCATACATTGCTGGTGGGACAGCAAACTGGTACAACCACTCTGGAAAGTAAGGAGATTCCTTAGAAAACTTGGAATGGGACCACCATTTTACCCAGTGCTCAGCTTATACACAAAGGACTTAAAATCAATCAGTATACAACAGTGACACAACCACATCAACATTTATAGCAGCTCAATTTACAATAGGCAAGCTTTGGAACCAACCTAGGTGCCCTTTAGCTGAGGAATGGATAAAGAAAATGTATATATAYACACACACACACACACACACACACACACACACAATGGAATATTACTCCACCATAAAGAAGAATGAAATTATGGCATTTGCTGGTAAATGGATGGAACTGGAGAATATCATGCTAAGTGAAAAACAAAGGTCAAATGTTCTCTCTGATATGTGGATGGTAACCCATAACAAGGGAGGGTAGAGAAGGAAAGTGTAAAAGTTCATTGGATTAGACAAAGGGGAATGAAGGGAAGGGAGTGGGGGTTGGGAATAGAAAAGATAGAAGAGTGAATCAGACATAACTTTCCTATGTTCATACATGAATACACAACCAGTGTAACTCCACATCATGTTCCACTGTAAGAATGGGATCAAAATAGTAATGGGTTGCACTCCATGTATGTATAATATGTCAAAGTACATCCTACTATTATGTATATCTAAAAACAACAAATTAAAAAATAAACTGAAAAGTCTCATGTAAAGGCAAGATATTAACATCCCCTGCCTTGGACGGTGCATTTCTCACTTGCTTTTCCCAGTTGAAAAGCTCTCTGGAACCCTACAAGTGTCTCATCCACATTTGTGTGAGGAGTTTTGCATACTTTAACCTCATTTATTTCTCTTCTCAGCAGGATCTGGTTTGAAGGGTGGTTATGTTGCTTTTTCTTTAAACATTCTCTTACATGTTCTGGACAAAAATTAACACGATTCATACTGTTAGGTAACTTTCTGATTAATCTCAATCCCTTTCTTTCAGCATGTCGTCAATGAATTGTGGCTTATCTGCAATAAAGCTTTATTTATCAGGTTAAGAAAAAGATTCAGGTGTTGAAACTTAATGGCTGTGGTATTAAGAGGTGGGGCTTTTAAAAAGTGATTACACCGGGAGGGCTCCTCCCTTCCTATGGGATTAAGATCTTTATAAAAGAGGATTCGTGCAGCAATTGGCTGTATCATCCTTCCCCCTTTCTGCGGGGAGGGAGGACTTGGGGAGTCTCCCCCGGAGCTCATGGAACAGGCACCATCTTGGAAGCTGAGAGCAGCCCTCAACAGAGGACTGAATCTGCCAGCACCTTGATCTTGGACTCACCAAACACCAGAACTGTAAGAAATCAAATTTCTATCTTTTACAAATTACTCTGCTCTCTAGTGTTCTGTTATAGCTGCACAAAATGGCCTGAGACAACATCTGTGAATAGGTATGTGTTCACATTTATTTTTCTGGAATTTATTGAACGGCATGGTGTGAGGTATACATCCAAGCTTCCTTTCCTCCATGCTGTGGTGTAAGTTGCCTAATGGTACCCGGGGACTGAGCCAGTGAGGGTAAGCAGAGCCCTGGATTCAAGGTTTAGTCAGAGATGTCAGTCCAAGGGCATCTGGCAGGATGGTGGACAGGGTGATGTCTTAGACACTGCAGCTGGCCCAGGCTTCCATTCTAGCCATGACCTAGCCTGCACCAGGTTCAGCCCCACACCTGCTGCTGGGTGGATGTCCACACAGGGCCTGGAGCACCAGGGTTAGGAGTCACTACTGTCCTCAGGCCTGCCCCACCCCCATCCCACCTGTGGGTAAATCCAGGCAAAACCTGGCTTGGCCTAGAAGCCCAGATAGTAGCCACCAGGCCTCGAGCACCTTTGAACAGTATGTTGGCCACTCTACCTCGCTAACCCCAGGCAGCTGCTTCTCGTCTTCCTGGGTGGGTTCCCTCCCAACTGAGGCATAGTTGGAGCTCTGGGTTCAAGACTCCAAATGCACCTGGGGATGAAGAGTGAAAGCCTGGCTAGGAGGTGT